ATATATATATATATATATATATATTGATAAATTTGGGTCTGGAATTTAAGGTGCGCAATAGAGCCAATTTATTAAGCATACAGAGCTAGCTAAACGATTGACAGTAATTTGTTATGCAAATTCGAGACAATTTGAATGATTATATTATCGATAGAAATAGATTCTCTCGTACGTGCTTGGATATTGGTATAATTAAGAAGAAGGTTAAGGACGAAAATCAGCAGGGGGCAATCGTTATTGGAACGTAGAGATTTACAAAATTGGTATCGGTACGTAAGCAACGGCTAGATACAGTACATACAATGTTAGCCGATTGTCAGGGTCGTGAGGGGCCGAGGACCTCTTCGGGATATACGTACGTATGTCTACAGTAGGTATATTCTAGCTTGTGTATCGCAAGTCTCGCGCGTGTTCTACGGGTATTACGGGATGTCTCAAAAGTAATGAGCGAGTAAAAAGAAATATCAGCGATAAAAAGTCACGTAAAAAATATAAAGCCGATACACGTAACCTAACCTAAACTATTAAAACTGTAGTGATTTAAGAAAAAATTATTAATTGTGAAAAAATTATATACAGGGTGTTTCCTGAGCCCCGGACAAGAGACATACCGTTAGATCCGGCGTGAAAAAATAAAAATATTGGCGTTAACAAAAATCAAAAATTTTAATAACTTTATTAATTATTAAAGATTAAAGTAAGCCAATCATAAGCACGTGAAAACTGGTAACTCCTCCTCAGTCTCTACCTATTGGGGACATCCAATCATTTATTTTCCCACAAAAACAGTGACCGATGGATACGTAAATATAGTAGCGTAAATAAACAAAAGAGTAACGGAAATAAATAAAAGAATAATGCAAAATGTTTTTTCGTGGGGAAATAAATGATTGGCTGTCCCCAATGGGAGGAGACTGAGGAGTTACCAGTTTTCACGCTTATGATTGGCTTACTTTAATCTTTAATAATTAATAAACTAATTCAAATTTTTTATTTTTCTTAACGCCAATATTTTTATTTCTTCACGCCGGATCTAACGGTATGTCTCTTGTCCGGGGCTTAAGATACACCCTGTATAAATGGAAATTATTAATAGCCAAGTGACTCATGTTAATGAAAGTGTTCGATATTTAATCTTTTCACGATATGAAATTGACAGATACATATACATAAATTCTTGACTAGAGGAATTATATGTACCAAACCGGGAATGCCAGTGTATCATATTTACATATTAAATTGATAAGAAGTTATCGTTCAATAGCGAGACCTCAACATGTCAGGGACACTTGTACAAAGTACGGTAAATGCGATAGTTCCTGTTTATTTTGGAGCAACGGATAAGAGATAATCGTTTACGATTTGCAGCTTTTATATTTAGTATATGTACGCGCATACGTAGATTTTATGTCGATGTCATCCAACGACATTTTTTCTTTCATTTTCTGATCAAAGTCAATCGGACGCTTTTGCGCGATTTTTGAATAGTTTGAACGTTTGATTTTTTTTCGTTAAGGACGCCCTTGCGCATTGGGAAACATATATAACCAGTTAGCCTAAGATGGCCACTGTTAGAGAACCATTATGCTATCGGCATACCAAGAGGTCTTTAGGCAATTTCTTCGAACACTACTAATGCAGGTTTTACAACTTTTCGTGAATTAAATTTCGCAAAATTTTGTAGTCATGCTCTTTCCAGTATAGTCGGCTTATTTTTTGCGTATTCATTCCTTTAGATATATCCTTTCCATGTGTTATTTACGAATTCTTCAATTCGTTGGATAATTATTACAATATTATACTGGCAGCCTGAAAGCATCCGGAAACCGGTCTGCTTTGTCGAGAAATATCTACACGTTTAGATACGTGAGCAAAAAAAGCAATGCACAAATAAGAAAAAAGATTCTTTATAGCAAAAAAATCGATTCGCCGGCGTCGTGTTTAACCTGTCAATTACGTAGGTCGCACAAAAAGGTGACCATTTCTTCGAAAGGTAAAAGTATCTCAATCATTTACAACCCTCAATAATTTTTGATATCGTAAGTTTTTCTGTAATTTAAAAATGCGCATACTAAATTTCAATGATTTACAGAAACGTGTAACTGTTAAGAAAAAGGTGGACTCACCTACGTTGCAGTTGACGAAGGTTCTTCGAGTATTCAGCGAAGTGAACGAAGTACGTCGAAAAACTGTCGCTTAATGTCCGGTGCTACAGTTCACTTGAGGATACGAAATGGTTGATAATATCGGTCGGGCGGTAGCAGAATCTCAACAAGGAAAAAATTGACGCGAAGTTTAATGTGTCCGGGTTAAACGAGAAACAGAAACGATAGATGCCGATGGAATAAATCCAAAAAATCGAGGGCGGAATACGCCCTTGCTTATTCAACGTTTATATCGACTTTCACGAAGGTAATAAGAGTTAGAATGATTTATTATTGGAGTTCGCACAAGACATGCTCCCTCGTACGTGACCAGGAACAAACTGAGAGCCGAGAATAGCGGTTCGCATTCACTCTTCAGTGCAACTCGGCGGCTTCTATTCCCTTCGGCGCCATCTTTTCAGTACTTCCCTCTTTCTCTTACCTTTAAGTCCACACTGCTACGAGACCCTTTTCTCCTTCTCTATTTACTCTTTTGTGTTTCTTCGGGTTTTCCTATTTCTCTTTGTTGCCCTATGTCACTGTATATGAAGCGACGTACACATATTTTAACTAGCGCCAAGTGTGCTTATGAAATCCAACCTTATTGATTTTTGCTAACTCCTGCGCGATTCGCAGTTTACACGAGTCTGGTATCCTCAACTGCTAGGATAAATTAACCTTAAATTTTAGCACTGTTCAGAAATATTTGACTGACGGATTATCTTAATTTTGCATTATTTTCTACTATCGCGGTAGCTCTGCTATTCACGTCATTTATGACATATATATTGTCTCTACAGATATCTTGTCTTGACTCACGCCACATACATATATTCGTATATTTCATTATACTTTTAACTATTTGTTGCACTTGATATTTTGGTTTAGAAATAAATTAATGCAGATAATTTTTACGACTGTCGTTTTTTTTTCTTTTCATTAATATAGGTGATATTTATTTCTCGTCAATATCATATCTCAATAATATAATGACATAATACAATAATTAAAAAATATAGTGTGTTTTCTAAGAGTTACAATAATAATATTGGTGAAATATAATAATGTAATAATGTCGATGATCCAAGTTTGTCGGTCGGTAATTAAAACCGAGTCGATCGCAATGCTGTAGATAATTAAAACAGTGTTACAAAATATAGTGCAAATATGCTCGCTATACACAACAAGGAGGGAATTCACTTTCTTTGCTAACAACTATCGACCACGTCTAGATCAAATGTATCGTCGTAGGTACACGTTAAATACTTTATATTCAACTAAATATTTACCTCTGATCATTCTAATACTTTCTAATGCCTATTACTAAACTTTACGAAAAATTAAGATATTGAATAAAGTATTGGAAAGAGCAAAAGAGAATTAAAGATAGTGGTACTATTACAATATTTTGACTATAATATGGCTGCCTAAATTATACTAGAAGGCTTTAGTAAACGACAAACCTAACCTCAGTCCTTCGAAAACAAAAAAAAAGTAAAACGAGAGGGAAACCAAAGTATGGCTCGTACAAATAACTTTTAGATAAAAAGCTGCTCGAAATATCACTATCTGTTGCGAGATAGAAATAATGTAAATGATTAAAAAATAAATAAAAAGGAATACTTCTTTTCTCCTTTCTAACCTAACCTAACGTGCAAGTGCGACTCGAAGTAATTTTATTTTTCTTTGTCTTTCGCAATAGGACCGAATACTGTTTCGTTCGTGCCAAATTGGTTTCGAGCTTTAGAATACCATTACAATTAAGAGTTCAAGGGCGAAACTCGACTTTCAGACAAAAATGAATATGTAAAAGCAAAATTATTTCATCCAGTCTATTTGTTTTTAGGTGTCTTTCAAAATTGAAGAAGTTCAGCTTTATAGTATATCACATATGATTATTGGAGGACTCAATATAATATATATACACATATATATATACACACATATATATTGTATATAGAATATATATGTATACATGCATATATATATTTTTTAAATAAAATCCTCTTTTATACTCTTATCGGTTCTCACAAAATTGCATAATATCGGAGAGTGATCGGTAGACTAGTAGTCTTTGATGGTGTTGTTTCCATTTGAAGTTTTCAAGTATAATAACCCTTGGTTAACTCGCCGAAAAATATTTACTATTGTAATCGGATGGAATGTTGAGTTTCGAGCGAGAACTTCATTGCCACTCGTCTACCACAGATTGTAAATTAGTAATCATCCCCCCCCCCCCCCCCAAC